CGCCGCAGGGGCCCGCCCTTCCCGCTGGCCCGCCCGACCCTTAGGCCAGAGACCCTTGGGGCTCCTTCTCCGCTGGCGCCCCGTCTTCTGGGAGGCGCCCCTCCAACCGCACCGTCACCCCTTTGGTGCCAGGGCCTCGGAGAACCCCTGGGAGGGGCTGAACCCCAGGGTGGGGCAGCACTGGAAGCTGGGGGCAGGGGGGCATGTGGGGGTCTGTGCAACCCCTGCAACACCCCCTCAGGGCTCAAGTAGCAATTGCTGTTCTCAGGGAACGGGGTGAGGTGCCCACGGGGTGAGGTGCCCACGTGGGTGGCCCTAGGGACCCCACAGGGGGTGAGCTGGGTCCAGAGGGGCAGGTGGTGCACCCAGGATCACACAGCAAGGTGGGGTCCAGGCCAGAGACCCTGCCCGTGAGCCCCCCAAGGCCATGGCTGTGAGCAGGCTGTGTGGGGCCTGGGGGCTCCCACAGGCCAGCGGGCTGGCCCAGGGCTGGGCACGGGGTCCTGTTCGCACCAGGTGTGTCCCTGCCGGGAGCCGGCAGCTACCTGGCGCACACCACGGCTCTCAGAGAACCTCCTGCACCCCAATGTTCTGGCCCGAGCACCCCCACTAAAGACACCCACGTTCTAGGGGCTGAAAGTGAAGCATTTATTGAAGTTGGGAGCGCTGGTGGTCAGAGAATAAAGGACAGTCTCCAGGGCCGCCGGGCAGCTTGGGGTGCGGTCGCCTTGTGTCTGGCCCTGCTCCTCCCCCTCCACCCAGTCCGCCTCTGGAGTGCTCTGGGGCCCCCCCTGCTCCCCCTTTGGCAGCCAGGCCCGCCCAGCGAGGGGGCCCAAAACAGGGTCAGCCGGGCGGGAGAGGCGGCTGGACCTGGCACAGCCAGCACAGGTCGGCGTGGGACACCCGGAGCCTAGGAGGTGGCTGTGGGTGACCAGGAGGGACCGGCGACCCCCACCCGAGCCAGCGAGCCGGCGGGGAGTCCCGTGGCTGACCTAGAGGGGGAGGGGCTGGTCCTGGCGCTCAGTGGAAGGGGCCGGAAGCGCATGAGGCCCTTAGCCCGCAGAGCCGCAGAGACGTCCACGACGACGAGAAATCTGCACAAAACGGCCAGCGCGTCCCTCGGCCCCACGGGACGCCCCGCTGCCCGCAGAGGTCCGGGCTCCGGGAAAGGACGAGAGGGGCGCTGCCGCCCGGACCGCGTGTCCAGCGCCCCGGGAGCCGGGCCTGCGTCAGAACTGAGCGCGGTCCACTTCGTCCAGCCAGGAGGCGGGGCTGGCCGGGAAGTCGGGGTAGCCCCCGCTGCTCCCCGTGGACAGGTCCGAGCTGGGGCCGTTTCCTGTCGGCACCCTCATGGGCGGGGGCCCGCCCGGGGTCCCCGTGGGCAGCAGGCCCAGGCCAGCATCGGGGTACACCAGGCTGGAGAGGAGGGGCTGGGGGCCGGAGAGGCTCTGCAGGGCGGCGGGGGAGGGGGGGACGCCGTAGGGGCTGCTGGGGCGCAGCTCTGCGTACTGCTCGGGACCAGCCAGGCCTCCGTGCTCCAGGGGGAAGCTGCTGGGGGCCCCCGCGGGCCGGCCCAAGGCTGGGGTGGGCTCCCCCAGGCTGCCGTAGAGGACGCCGGCGGGGCCCATCTCTGCCATGGCTGGCTCATCTACGGGGAAGCAGAGGTCAGTGCCCAGCGCCCATCCTGCAGCCCTGCCCAGCCCCCACAAGGGCGGGGGTCACCGTCCCTCCCCGCCTGGAAATGACAGCTGCCCCCCCACCGCCTTCCACCCTGGGTGCCCTGGTGGGGTCAGGCCAGGAAGCGGCCCGCCGGGCACTGGCCGGGTGATGCCCAGACGGCCCAGAGAGGCCTCTCAGCCTCAGGCGCCCCACGGAGGGTGTTGGGGCCGGGGTGAGGGGCCTCCTGGTGCCTGGAGGAGATGGGGACCCAGAGAGCAGAGCACCCCCCATGCCAACCCCCGGCAGCGGGGAGGTCCCGCCCCTACCATCCAAGAGGGGGAGCGGGGGCAGGGGAGCGTGGGGCCGGGGGCCTGAGGGCTGGGGTTGGGGGTGCGGAGCGGCCTACAGTGGGTGCCTGCCGGCGAGGGCTGGGGCGCTCCTGCTGGCGGGGGGCCTCACCCGGGAAGGCGACCTCCGCGTCGCTGTCCTGCCCCTCCTCCTGGCCGCTGTCCTTGTCGGGCTTGGGGGCGCCGCGGGCGCGCTTCATGCTGCGGAAGTACTGGCCCCAGCGCTGGCGGCCCGCGTCCTTCTTCAGCCTCTTCTCCTTGGCGCGGCGGTTCTGGAACCACACCTGCGCCGCGGGGTGAGC